CGAATGCCCCTACCAAGCTCCAGACCTCATGGGAGTGTTGTATGCTATTTCCCAAACAAGGCTCTGGCTGGTGCTAAGTGCCTCCCCCAAAGCCTCCAGGATTCCCAGAACCCATGGCAGGGGCTGGGGGGAGGAGGCCTCTGACTTCTGGCCATGGCATCAGTCAGGCCCTTCCCTTGGAGGGTCAGGGCTCAAGGTTCTTGACTTTGGGGCCAGAAGCCCAGGGTGGAGACTGAGATCCTGGCAAGATTCAGGGATGGGCCCTCTGCTCCTGGGGCCGGGGTTGGAGGGCCTGGAGGGCAGGAAGGACACGGACCTCAAGGCCTCAGAGCAATGGGAGTGAAGCGCATAGGAGAGCCCCACCAGCCCCTGAGACTCCAGCTGGGTCCAGAGTGGTATGGGGTGAGGATGGGCTGCCTCTCTCCCTGCCTCCCAAGGGCCCACAGGTGAATGAATGATGCCAACTGACACACAAATCCCCATGCCCAAAACAGACCACACTCCATGCAGGACCCACACCATAGCTCGAATGCATCCTGCCCCCCTGACGCCCCCAGTCTCACCTGCCAGCTCCTGGCCCCCGGTAGCCTCCAAGCCTTGGCTCCACTCTGGCGGCACAGCCCTTCCCACAGGTTGCCAGGGGAAGGGCCCCACCCAAGGGAGGCAGGTGTACTCCCTCCTCCTTGGCCCCACCCAGGATCAGGAAACAAAGTCGGGAGGAGGAGGGAGAAAGCCGATACCCAGGCAGTGCAGAGGGCAGGCACCATGCCACTGCACACTGCCCCAGCCCCTAACCCCCAGGGCATCCAGCCCCTGGAGCTGAAACTCACCTGAAACCTCCCTCTAGCTGCCACCTGGCTTTCTCACCACCTTTCAGGGGTCACACAGCAGGTACATGAACCTGTTTCTGAGTCCTGGGGGCCTAAGTCCCATACCTCTATGGTGTCACCTGGCTCCACCCACCCTTGGGGCTACTCCCCTGGAGTCCTTTTCTGGGACAAGCCCAGCTTGCCTGTCTCTGGGGGATATGGGTCTGGGTTCAAATCCCCATAACCTCCCTGAGCCTTTGTTTCCTTCTCATGAAATGGGGCCATCACACAGCTGGGAGAATTCCGCAGGCCACTGGGACATAAAGAGCTGATTGAGGACATCAAAGTGACAGAAAATGTTGGTGGGTGGGCAAGGCCCAGGTCCCACTGACAGATGGAGCACTGAGGCTCTAATTGGGTGGCAGGTCCTCCCAGGTGCTCAGCTGTCCGGCCCGATTCTTGGTTGAGGTGAAGAGTGTGGCCAGGGCTACCGGAGCCCAGTGTTTACAGGGAAGTCAGGCCACTGGGACCAGCGGCCAGTCTACAGGAGTGGACACAGTGGATTGGGCTGGGGCTCTGTCTCGTACCTTGGGGGCTGTGGGTTTCCTCTTGATCTCAGTCGCTTCTTCCATTGAATGGGCCTAAGCCCCACATGTGGCAGGGCTGCCTGGGATGGAGGGTTTGAGACAGGTCCAGATAAAGGGCCCAGCCCAGAATGACAGCTTGAGCATATAACGGTTCTGTCAAAACTTGGGGCATACAGCCTTGCTGTCTCCTCCCCACACCACTGCAAGTCTTTTTATCTGTTTTGCAGACATGGAAACTGAGGCACAGCAAGCTTCAAGTCCTAAGGGCAGACAGTGTTAGTGGTGGGGTTGGGATTTGAACCTGAGCCTACCATATTTATCACCCTATTGCTCACATGGGGAAACTGAAGCCCCAAAAGGCAGAGACTGTATCACCCAGTGTGGTGGAGGCACTTTGGAGACAAGAACCTCAATGTCCTGGTCCTGGGTGGGGTGGCCCCCACTCGGTTCAAAGCCCATTGAACAGATGGGTAAAATGAGGACAGCAACTTCCCTCAGTCACGGTGAGACAGAATGGGGTTGCAACCCCCATAAATGTGTCCTCCCTGGTGGCCCTGTTTTCCAGAGACTGGTTCCCTGCAGAACTTATGGGGCCTTTGGAGTCCCCACAGAGATTGGTACCTGTGGGGTCCTTTCAGTTTCCTGAGGTGCCGTGAGTCCAGCAAGGGGCAGCCTTGAAGCCAAAGGATAGGAGAGGGGTGGGGCAGGTATAGAATGGAGGTTTCCACAGGAACCCTGTCCTGACACTGGCTGCTTCACCTCTTACCTGCCCAGGTGCTGCTCAGATGTGTTCAAGTGTAGGTGTGGGCTCCACCAATGTCCCCACCGCAGTACCGTGTGAGCTGGGGATGCCCAGGCCCGGCACAGCCTCCCTTTATGTCTGGCCCAGCAGGCCCCGCCCTCTGGCTGGCCACATCCTCCCAGCCCCAGGGAAATCCAAGAACTCCAGGACCTGGGGCGTTCACAGGGTTTATTTGCTTCTCTAGGAAAGTCAAGAACATGGGCCTGTCACACACTGAAAGCACAGGGGGCAGCAAGGGCACTTCAGCGGAGGCTCTCATCTCAAGGACTCGGTGGCTCAAGGAGGGAGGGGTTCCATGCCACTGCTGGGGGCCACCTCAAAGAGGGACTCTCCTCCCACTACCAAGGGGCAGAACTGAGATGAGACGGGCCGGGCTGGTTTCAAGTGGCCCCTGCACGGCTCTGTAGAGGCGGGGGTGAGGGGACTGCCTCAGCCTGGGCACCGTGGGGGGCGGGGGCCCAGGGGAGGGGCCCAAGATAGGGCCTGGTTGTCCTACAGCCCACACAGGAGAGGGTCCATAAGTGTGGGCATGAATGTGCCTCTGAGGATGTGTGTGACTGCAACCTGGGAAATGTGTGTGCACATCTGGGTGTCAGCTGCCCACAGGAGGAGAGTCCCTCACTCCTCACCCCTTCCAGTGAGTGGGGGAAGGTTCACATTGGGCTGGGTAGCCAATGGGGGTCTCCTGCTGCAACTCAGGGGAAGCTCCCTGCCCCAGGCTGTGTGCCCCTCCGCTGCCCAGGTGCGCCAAGCCCAGCAGAGCTGGCAGTGGGCCTGATCTCTAGGGTATGGTTAGGGAGATACAGGACCCTGGCCCAAGCAGGCTGGAGAATGGGCTGGGGCAGCTCCCCAGGGTCTCCAAATTAGCACCAGGAGCAAGGAGGGCCCAGTGAGGGTGGGAGCTCAGGACAAGAAGTGGCTCACATGGCCCTGCCTTGTGCAGGGGGCAACTCGAAGACCCTCACTGGCCCCATCCAGAAGACAGCACAGGGGTCATAGACTCCCCCCAAATGGGGTGTGTCTTCTGGGCTCCCCCTTCCTGGGCTCCATCATCCACTAGTCATGCCCATGAAGAGCACAAAGGGAAGGGCACATTGGGCTAGGGTGTCTGGAGGGGCCCCTACTTTATTCTAAGAACTGGAGCCTGGTCTCTGACTGAGGCTCCCCAGTGAGGTGCAGCCTCATCCCAATTGCCTAAGATCCCGACACCAGTGCCTTTGCTGGGGAACCCCACTTCCAGGGGCTGAGTGGGGACAGAAAATGCCCCTAGGACCCCTCAGCTCCCCAGTCCCTCTCTGGCAGGATATCCCCTTGGAGACCTCATTGGAGGTGGCAGGAAGGCACAGGCAGGAGGCCCAGAGGGTAGCGGGCTTGCCTGGGGCTGCACAGAGGCCTGGGTCCCACCAGCCAGGAACTCTGTGGGCAAAAGCCCGCCTGTGGAGCTGCCGTGACATGTGGGGGATCCTCGTTTTAGGAAAAGTGGGTCTGTCTGTGTCTCTGTCCTACCAGGCACAGGCACACAGCTCAGTGGTTTAGGGTGTGTCAGGGTGGTGATGGGTCCCTCTTTCCAGTGAAAGAAAACTCAGAAGGAAGATGTGACAACACAGCATGTCCTGGGGCCCATGATTGTGGGTGGAGGGTGGGCAGGCACTGGGGCCAGGCTGTGGGTCTCTGTGGTGTGGAGGGTGGGGCCGGGGTCTGGGGCCTGCGGCTCACATGATGGAGCAGCATTTACAACGCTGCTTCTTCATGTCAAGGTCCTGGGTGTCGCTGGCAGGGGCCTCGGGCCCCACCTGGTTCTCTTCCCTGGAGCCTGAAGTGGTAGGGGGCTCAGCGGCACTGCCGTTGGGCGGGGCGGCCTCCTTGGGCTCAGCCTCATCCTCGATGACCACCAGCTCCGCCGTGATGGTGTCCTGCAGCCCCAGAACCTTCTGGGTTTCTGCTTCATCCTCCACGTTCTGGTATCCCATGAAGATCATAGTGACTGGGGGCTCTTGGCCGGGCTGGATGCCTGGTGGGCCCGATGTGGCCTCACCTGGCTGCGCCTGAACTCCAGTGATCTCCCGCCTGGAGGGTGTGGTGGTCTGGATGGCCTCCTCGGATGTTCCCCGGGGCCCTGCTGCCCCAGTCATGGGCCCTGCCTCACTCAGCGTGACCTCATCTGCCTTGTGGATGAGTTCGTCCACCTCGGAGGAGCTCAGTGGCTGGATCCCGTTCACTGCGGTGCCGTCCACAGCATGGACCACTGGTGGGATGGAGAGAGAGTGAGACTTGAGACCAGAGGGAAGACCTGGCAGGTCTGCAAGCCACCCTTCAGGCTAAAGAGAAAATCATAAACCAAATTAGATGGACAATCTAAGCTCCCTGTTGGGATCTGTGGACACAGCCAAACTGGCATGTGCACAGAGGAAAATTCATGGACACAAAAGCACTTGTTATAAACAAAGAAAGACTAGAATTCAATGAATTGGGATGTTATTTTCTTGAAGTTTAAATTATTTGTACTTGCAAAGTAGTTCTGTTGAAAAGATAGCAGAAACAGAAGTTCACAGAAGGGATATAATTAGCACTAGGCCACACAGCTGTCTAGTGGACCCTGACCCTGGTCCAGGTCTGTTTCCCCAGCCTGAGAATTTGTCGGAATCCTAATTTCTCCCTTCCTCTGGTTTATGGGGTTGATCCTGAATTAAATTTAGTTCATTCGCCCAGTCTTTCTTGTTTTCCTGTAAATGCCCCAAAGGCTATGCCTTCACTTCTGAGTTCAGCTTTGGCTGCAGCCCATGAATTAGACTACTTTGTTCTCTTTCAAGTTTAAATATCTTATATTTTTCTATTTTGAATGATTGTCTCTCTAAGCCAAGATTTATTTAGAAAGATGTTTTGAAATATTGGGGAGGGACTATGATCTGGGGACACAGAGCACAAGATATTATGGACACCTTTGCAGCTCAGAACATGGTCACTTTCTGAAAATGCTCTACCTTGTTTGACAAGAACATGCATTCTCCATGGGGCAGAGTTTTATGCCTGCAATCATTTCCCCCCCAAACCCCTGCAATCAATCTTGTTAAATGCATTTTCCAAATCTCTTCAACTTTCCTGCTCCATGTCTCTCTGATCTGTCACTTTCCGAACTGTGCTGCAGTCTCTTAAGGATGGGATTTCAGCACCAAGAGGAGTCCCAGCCACAGTCTCATGCCAGCCCCAGATCACAGCCCTAGAAGCACAGCTGCCCGGCTGCCCGGAGAAGAGGGAGGGACCCACAAAGCCCAAGGACTCTGCTCCTCCCAGGCCAAGGGTCAGAGCTCCAATTTCTGGCTTCTGGACAGAAGAAAAGTGTTCTCAACTTTCAGTTTCCAGAGAGGGGGTGGGGGGTCCACGCTTCAAGGCCTTGAAGTGACTTTGGGCTGGAGGCCCAGAGGATGGGTGTGCCTGGGTGACACAGAATCAAGCTGAGTATTTCCCACTGGCCACTGCCCCAAGATAGGAATCCGAGCCCTCAGCTGCCATGGAAATGGATCACCTTCCCATTGCTAAGCAACCAGAGTCCAGTCTGGAGGGTCTTGACTCCCCAGGGGCTGGGCCAGGCTGGGCAGAATGGACATGTGAGGACCTTCTGCTAGCACAGGCATCTCTTTTGCCCCTCAGCCCCATGCAGTCATTTTTGCTCAGGAGACAAGCAGCTGGGACTTTCCCAGGACCACACAGTTGGTGAGAGCTGGATTCAGAATCCTACCTGGGTCTATACCCCAAACCACAGCAGAGCTGGGAATAATGGGACCCCCATAATAGCATTCTGGATACCCCAGAAGCTGAAATAACAACTAAGAACATGAGGCTTTGGAAATAAAAAACACAGTGGAATGTCACTTCACACCCAATAGGATGGCTATACTACTAACAACAATAAGAAAAGACATAAACAAGTGTTGTCAAGGATGTGGAGAAACTGGAACCCTCATGCACTGCTAGTGGGAAAACAACATGGTACAGCCACCATGGAAAACACCCCAGCAGTTCCTCATAAGGTTAAACAGATTCTCCATATGACCCAGCAATTCCACTCCTAGGTATCTGCCCAAGAGAAATGAAAACATTCACCCACACAAACTTATAAAACCATAAGGTAGAAACAACCTAAATGTCCATCAACAGATGGATGGATAAACATAATGTGGTCCATATAAACAATGGAATATCATTTAGCCATAAATTATGAACACAGATGGACCTTAAAACCACGATGCTCTGTAAGAGAAGCCAGACACAAAAGGCCACACAACGTGTCATTCCATTTATCTAAATGTCCAGAACAGGCAAATCCACAGAGACACAAAGTGGGTCAGTGGTTGTCAGGGGCTGGCTGGGATGGTGGGGTTTCTACTTGGGGAACAAAAATGTTCTGGAATTAGATAGCGAGGGTGTACAATGTAGTGAATATACCCAAGCCTACTGACTTGCTCACTAAACACTTTGTCCACCATTTTCTCACAAGGGAGATGTTCGTGGATGTGCTAACTGACGCTAGAGCTGAGCTCTATTCACCTTATACTTCACTCAAGGGACTGGCTCTGTGAACTCTATTCCATGAAGAAACCCAATGTTTGCCTTGGTTTTTGTTTTGTTTTTAATCCTCACCTGAGGATATTTTTTTCTATTGCTTTTCAGAGAGTGGAAAGGAAAGAGAGAGAGGGAGAGAGAGAAACATCAATGTGAGAGAGACACATCGATTGGTTGCCTCCCACACACACCCCGACCCGGGCCAGGGATCGAACCTGCAACCAAGGTACATGCCCTTGGCCAATATCGAACCCAGGATCTTTTGTTCCGAGGGCTGACGCTTTAACCACTGAGCCAAACCAGCTAGGGCACCTTGATTTTTTAAAATGTGTTTTTATTGATTTCAGAGAGAGGAAGGGAGAGAGAGAGAAAGGAACACCAATGATGAGAGAGAGTCATTGATCGGCTGTCTCCTACATGCCCCTTACTGGGTGGGGATTGAGCCCAAAACCCAGGCATGTGCCCTGACCAGGAATCAAA